TACAATGTCCTTAGGTAGCGGGTTGGCTGCTGCTCGGATTTGTGTCGGCCTATTTCTGGTCTACTCTGGTCTTCTGCGGATGACTGGTGCATGGGCACTTTAAAGATATAGGTCGCTACAAAATTGGTCTTGGAGGAAAGAAGAAAAAAAAGGTCGCTACGAAACTCGGAAAATTTTACTACACATTAATTAATATTTATTATGTGAATGGAATATATTTTTAAAATAACGATTTATACTGTTAATATTTATTGTGAAAAAATATTAAATAAATATATTTGTTAAGAATAAAATAAAAGGACTGAACATAAACTTAAGAGTTAAGTCCTATTCTAAATACAGAGAATACTAAAGTTTTATTGCAGTCAGGGCAATGTCCTCTGCAATAAAGTGAAAAATATCAATTTTAGACAAATGCAAGGTAATAGTTAAGAACATAAGTTAAAAAAAAATCAATTTCAAACAAGCATGCATGCTTATTTGTATTTTAAAATATTCAGTAAGTAAATCAAAATAAGTATTGCATGTGTTAAAATTTAAATTGATCTCACTTTTCCAAGAGAGTTTCAGTAATTTCCCAGGAGGCCTTTTATATTTCTCAGCTGCTAATTAGATTTGGAAGCACGTTTTCGATCTGCTTTGCTTGATTCTTTTTTTAACAAATATATGTAATATAATTATTTTTTTGTTACAATTTACATCTCTTGGAAGTTCTTTCTATTAACCGTTAAAAGATAAATGTCAAACCTTAACGCAGTTTCAGATACTCAAAAAGTTTAAAAGTTCACTTAAAAACAGTTATTTAGTTTTCAACATGTCTAAATTATTTCTTGAATTCTTGAAGATAACTCTTTCAGCGATCATTTTTTTTAAATTCTTTCTTAAAAACAATGTTTGCAATAAGTATAAGTAAGAACTACTAAACTTAAAAGAAAAGTGCTGTTTCAAATAAAAATTTGTAACACTAGTAAAATGAGAAGAAAACGTAGTAAAATTAAAAATATATTTGTTTTAAAATTTTAAATGGAATTTTAATTTTGACTTCTCATTCAATAAAAACGTAAAATTAAGTTTACGAATTTATTTAACAAGAAAAATTTTTTCGAGATAATTTTTTTTCGAAACTAATCTTTAATATAAAAGGATAAAAAAGAGTGAGATTCAATCTATCTAATGATACGGTTAGACTTAATAAACTCCATTTCCAGATTTCAAAATATTATTGTTGTTGTTTCTAATGCCCTTTGCTAATACCGGCAAGCATGCTTGGTGAAACCAAGTGAATTTAAGGTAGATAGTGTGTTACTTGTTTTTCATTGGCGTGATCTATGGCCAAGAATTTGAATTAAGCCAATCGGCATGCGCGAGTCACCATTTACAACAAAGAGAGTCTTCGGTAGGCGGAGATCAAACTGACGACCTATTGGACATAAGTCTAACACCCTGCTAATCTATTATCCTGGCCACTTTCGAAAGGATTAAGATGAACTACTTGTATGGTAATGTTTAAATTTAGTAAAACTATGTTGCATTAAGTATAAAATAATGTTTTCACAAAAAATCTTACTAATATGATATCATTATCCCCCTTTTCTTAAGATAATAGTAATGTGATTTTGAAATTCTGAAAAAAAAATGTTTTTAGGAAAAATTAATGCGACTCAAACATTAATTTCCTCACTTATTAAATAAGAGAAAAAAAATTTAAATCCAAAAAAAAAAAGAAAGAAAGAAAGAAAGAAAAAAGAAACCTCACAAGTTTCATTTCATTTATCATTTTATTATGTTTCCATATTCTAATAATGCAGCATGTAACATTTTATGTATTTAATAGATTAATAAGTTATTTTAATATAATTAATTGAATATTTTCATGAAGATTTTACAGAAATGTCGCAGAGCATATAAATGAATAAGTTTTAAAATGTATTCTTAATTATACTGACTTAATTTTTTTAAGGTTTCAGATTCAAGCCCTTTAAAATATATTTTCAAACTTCTCTCAACCTTTTTTTGGTACTTTTGCTCTCTATGATAAGTATGATTTTAAAATTATAATTATTAAATGATTTACTAAATTAGTCTGAAGTTCAATTCTAGATCATACTCAAACTAGAAATAAAAATTTTAAATTTAATTCCTACTCACCAAACGTTTCAGTAATTTTTAATGTGAATTGTTCTTCGATGCACTACTGACAGCAGTAAGAAAAATATTTCCGGGTCCTTTTTCGTTACGCTAATGTTAGCTAAAATTTTTCTTTGTTAATGTTGAAAAATACATTCTGAATATGTTATTCTACAAAAAATTATATTAAGCTTATTAGTTTAGCATATGAAAGAGTAATAACTTTTAAATTTACTGCAATTTAAATATATCGAAAACGTTAGGATCACGTTTCTGTATTTACTCCAATTTTGGTTACACAAAACAATTGCTCAATTTGAACTAAACTTGTTTTTAATTTAACAACTTAATAACCACCAAAAGGAGTGTATCACATACCAGCATTACGAAAAATGAGAATAATTCCTGGCTTGTTAAACAGAAATTACTCACTGCATTTATTATTTGAATTTCGAAATGAACTTGATCTTCAAAACAAGTTTCCACTTGAATGCATTTTAGAAGAGGATTTATCAATGTTTGGGGTTTGATATTCCCCAAGCTCATGTAAGTCTTTCTTTTTCTTCCTTTTTGACCGAACTCGTGAGAGAATGATGTCTAGCGGGTTACAGTGTAAATATTTCTGCTTCCAAGCATTTTTAGTTTAGGTGCATTTTAAATTATTCTTGAAGAAAATAATTCAACTAGCAGAATAACTAATGGGCGGAAACTAATTTTTTTTTCTCTTCTGTTAAAGAAATTGCGATAAAGGCTAACATAATCTTGCTTTCAACTGTAAATCCACCAGCCAGTTACAGAAAAAGGTATTTTTAAGAAGGACATAACATTAAAGCTAATGATAAAGGAATTCAACAACGGCCCGAAAATGAGACTTAACGAATAAATTTAAGCAATATAAAAAAAAAAGAGATTTTTAAAAAATTTCCTTGATATCTTAAACGGAAATTGTCAGGGGATGCGTCACTTGAACATGTACAGTATTCAAAACCTATTAAATATTCAAATTGTCGGAAACTTTTCTGTTTATTTCAAGTAAAATAAAATATTTTTTTAATACTTTAAGCAACTATTTTTTAATTAATAAATTGACATTCTTATCAGAATCAAATAAGTTATGTCTTAAAATCCCTTTTGCCTAATGTATTGTATCAGGATGTAAGATAATTTATGTTTAAATGATATCCAATTTTAGAATGGTTATTTCCTTATCCTTACCAACCAAGTCCTTATTTTAAATACTTATGTACTGAAAAAATGTAATCTTTAGGCTCTTGAATTTTTTAATTGCTTAAAATTTCTCCCAAAGCAATTTTTTTTAACAATTTAAAACTTTTCGAAATCTTTGTCTTAAATATGTACCACTTTTTATTCCTTAAATGTGCTTAAACATTTTAATCGTTTAATCTTCCTCAATTAATGTTTTAATAAAAGTAACTTATGTTAAATATGGTAAGGGAAGTTAATATTTAAAGTATGAATGTACCTTTTCATTTATAAAGAAAAGTTTTATCGTTTTGATCACAATAATAAATTAAAATTTAATTTGAAATATTTATGACAAATTATTAGAAGTTCATAACGTTTTAGGTAAAAAATATGAAACGGAGTGAGAAAAATATTGTTTGATTCAAACATTATGAATATTTTTACGCAGAAATGATTTTTCACATTTTTTATCAGATTACTAGGTCATATGCTTTATAATGAAGTGATAAAAAAATGTTCCAACAAATGAGAGCTATAAAAAACTTTAATAATGTACGATATGAGTATATACATGTAATATATTTTGGTATGGTTTGGTATAATTTGAAGGACTTAATACCAGATTGTAAAAAAACACACTTTTCTTCTGAAAGTGAGATGTTTAAATGAAATATTTTCTTGGTATTTATAAAATTAGAAGATACTTTATGTTACTGGTGATAGATTCCCCTAGATTACTTCACAATACACAGAAACACCTGATTTTAAGCATATTGTGGGGCAACATTATCATCAAAGCTCTGTTAAATAATTTGATATGTTTTATCAACGGATGGTCCCAATTTCTTTCATTTTACAGAAGTAATTAAAACAATTATAAAATATTGGACATGCCTACATCATATTAATAGCATATTAAGAAATAAAGATTTAAGTTCAGCACCTCTCTCACACAAAATGAATAATAATTTTATTTTTTAAATTATATATAGTTCTATAAAGTTACACAGTGATTTTAAAAAAAATACTCGAAAAAAACATTTAGCTTTGTTTTAATTAAGAGATAAAACTTGTATTGACATAGAAGTAATTTTTTATGTAGAAAAAGACAGTTTAGTTTTATAATTGAAATTGACTATTTTTCAAATACTTTACACCTTATCTTAAAAAATATAATATTTACCTTATTGCTCTCTTATTAAATGGCGAAATAGCCAACAAATTTTCTCAATTCTGCTGCAGTAAGCATTCAATCTGATATGTGTTTTTTTTTGTTGTTGTTAAATTTGAGTTATATAATTAAGTATTAATCAGTCACCGAGATTTACAAAGTACTAAAATTATGAGATTGTATGTGCATCTATAACGTTTTAAAGATAAAAATAATAATACTAGACAGTACTCAATCAACAGCTCTTCTATTAAATACTAAAATTTATGAATAAGATTAACTGAATATATTTACAAAATTGGAACTTTTTCAGAAGCATGTTTGAATTATGTTTAATAGGTTATAAATTCAAACATTTAGTTAAATTTTAATTCCATATTTTAAAGACAACTGTAGATCAACAGTGATGTTTTTAATAACAAAACAGTGACTATATTTTAATAAGAATATGAATTTTACTGACTAATTACTTTTTTAAAAATAACTGAAAACTTACTTTTCTGTTGATAATTTTTTTTAAAAAAACATGAAGGTCAAAATCATCTTGTGAAAGCAAGAGTTATCAAATAATTCTTTAAGAGTTGGTTAGTTCATACGATTTTTAGAGTCTCCTTGCAAGTTCTTAAATGGAAAAACTAGTGTTACACAAATCGGAATATCAAAGTAAACTCACAATACCAAATGCAGCGTTTGATTATTGTTTTGACGAGTGATCTTGATGATGAAAATCTGTGCTTCTCGCTTTATCCTCTGGGCCTTTATCGTTTTCATTAATTTTAGTCCGACAGTGGACTGATCATTAAGGCACGGTTCCCAGCAGATCACCGAAGTCAAGCATCACTGGCTGCGGTCAGGGTGCGGGTGGGTGACCACTTGTATCAGTCTGCGTAGGAACCGAGGTTGTGTTGTATTGGTCCTCGTTAAACTGTTCTACCGTAAAGTGCTCGACTTCGCGTGCAGGTCGTTGGGCTACCGAAGCGGGGGTGCCATCCCCTCTGCAGAGGATCAAAATTGTGATGGCATGTCTTCGGATCATCCGCAGCTATATTTCCCAGACCGTCGCCAATAGCCCATTGTGCAGCTCTAGTGTGACGTAAATGAACAACAACTACTACTACTAATACTACTCATTAATTTTCATTGTTACATGTATGAATGTAAGCCTCTGCACTAATAACAAAGATGAGTACCAAAACCTTGTCAAATTGATGGACCCATAGCGGAATTGCAAGATACATCACAAAGATACATTCAGAGTTACGTTGAGATTCGAACCCGTTACCTCTTTAATCGGCGAGACTGCTTGGTTTTTGAAGTTCCTACTTTGATTAAAGTTCTACTTATTATTGCTTTCTTATTGCTTGAAGTAGTTTGTGTTGTTGTGTTTGTAGCAAAGTGCGGCTTATGTGCTATAGTCAAAAAGAAGAACATGCATTTCAAGTCAGGGAAGGATATCACAGAGGTATATACAGGGTCATGGCGAATTTTGTACCATCTAATCTCACTTCAGCGTGTTTGGCGGAATGACGAGATAACAGGGCCAAGAAGTCCCCATTGTTTCATAATTTTGATGATATTCTTATTACCAGTTTTTTTTTTTGGGGGGGGGGGTCCAAATTTACTTTTACATAAACATATATTTTCTTCAAACGTAAAGTGAAGGAAAAATAACTTTATGCTAAGCGCTAAGAAGTATCGAGGTTGCAGGTTCAAATTCCGCAGTAACAATGATTTCATCTTTGCTTTGTCTAACAACATTTTAGCTCTTCTTCAATTTGAGGAAGGCTTAAATGCCTTTGCTTTACTTGCATGTGTAAGTGAATAAATAATTATATTATATTTAGATAATTGACTGCGCGATAGAGTAGTAGTAGATGTAGTACTTTATTTACGTCGCACTAAAACTGCACAATGTGCTGTTTGTGATGGTATGAAAAATATCTTTGTCCTCACAATCTTTTTCTCTGCAGAGGGGATGGCTTCTCGGCTTTGACAGCCTGACGACCTGTTAGGAAAGTCGAGCTCTGTGTAGTAGAACTTTTTTACGATGAAAATAGACAACAACAACCTTATTGACTGAAAGTGGACAGCAAGGTTTGACTTCATGAACCTACTATTTATGTGGAAGCTATGGGATAGTGTGTAAACTTAAACTGCGAAACTTCTTTTTCGGTAATTTCTTACTCTTATCAACAGAAAAAAGGCAATACTTTAACTAAATACTCAGATTTTATACAATGTGAAGATCTTCAGAGACTTCTTCTTCAGAAAAACTGGACAAATAAAAGCGATAAAAACAAGGTTTACAGTAAAAGCTAAAAATTATTTATTTATATTATTTTTCTTTGGAAACTTTGGTACATGCATTAATTCAATTTTTAAGAAAACAAGCTTCGTATACTATTAGCTCTGCTAAGTTTAAAAAAGGATTAATTAGTCAACGGTTCTATTCCAACCAAATGAAAATAAAAATCCAAGGTTTGCCGTAAAATAACCAGCCATCCGGCATAATAATGTTAAAATAAACTTAAGAATCATGAGCGAGTTTTTTTTCCATATTTAACCTATTTTTACCAAAATGTAAGAGTAAAGTAAAGAAAGCATCATAAAAAGCAATACAAAATTTACAAAATTTCTTTTTTCAGTGATCTGAAAGCATGCATAGTTTTAAAACAGAATTTTTCAAAACTATAGCAGGTAAAGTGTGTTTTTGAATGAAATTGAACATGTTCGTGTCCAGGTTACGAACTCATAACCCTCTTTGTCAGTGGATGGAACTTTAAAAATTTGCCCATTTTCATCTTTCTCTTACAAATGGGTTTTAGTTATCACATACTTTGTCCCACAGAAGATTGATCGTATGACACAGTTCACAGTGAATTGCCAAAATGGAGCACCACGTGAGCGGGTAGGGGAATACTTCGACCATACTGAGGAGGGACCAATGGCTTGCCGTATCGGTCGTATTTAAATTGTTAAACCATAAATTACTGTTATACATCAGTCGATTCAATAAAAAATAAATGTGGTAATAGGCTTCTCATTACACAGAAAGATTAAAGTGTAATATTTTATCAAAAACAATATTTTTGAAGATGCTTAAAAGACATGCACTACTAATGCAAAAACACACCTTTCCTAAGATCGGTTATAATTTCCAGTTTTATAAGCCTGTAGTTATGCAATTTCCCATTTTTATAAATTTCTAATTTTTAATTTTAATTGCTGATACTTTCGATTTGTCTTAGGATAACTTAATGTGTCATTTTTTCTTTCTCTAAGCGTTCCATAAATGACACTTGAAATATTATGCAAAGTGGCCGCTAGGTGGTATTATTTATTAAATTTTACAAAATGGTTCCATTTACTACTTGATTCTGTCAGAGTTTTATATTTCTTAAAATTTTATTTTTGCTAATATTGAGTGAAATAGGTACTGTAAGCAAACCATGTCACAATGGAGTAGATTTTGAAAAGCTATCGAAAGAATGTTGCAAAAAATCAGAAACATGCTCTGCAAATTACTGTGGCTATCAAAGAGTTATTACATTTTGATTTCTGTAACAATGCATTTTCGAAATGATTTAAATTTTATCAATATTTCTCTCAAACCACTTCACTAAGGAGGTCTGCATTGATAAATGATATACCTAGGTGCCATACGTTTTCCGCAAAGATATACAGTTTAATATATTAAGTTTGGTAAGATTAAATTTGTCCAGATGTTCATGTTTAAAGCTTTCTTCAATTATGTTTGAAATATATAAATGTCTACCACAATTTCATTTAAAGGGTAGGGAGGCAATTTAGTTACACACTATAAATTTATGTTACATTTTAAGAAAGCCGTGCCTTTTGCACTAATTCCAAACAGGAACTTAACAAGTTTCCATGAGCTCCAGTGACCCACTATTCAAAGAAACAGCTTATTACTCACAAGACAGTGTTTTTAATCCAAATTATGAACAATTTGAAAACGTTATTTTTTAAAGAATTAAATGGATAGTTACTTTCCATAACTCTAATCTACTCTTCTTTAATTCTATCTATATAACAAGTAATGAAGAAAAAACATAACTTCACGAAAATAATAGCATAAACCTTGAAAATATAACAAAAAATTTCAATATTTCAGTTTTTGCTCCTTTTATAATATTGTTTATTCATTGCAGACTTTAAATATTTAATTCTATTTTGAAAATGCATCAGTTTTTTAGTTTGCAGAACGTTGATACTATATATTTATATGTTTGAATCTTATGTACTTTACGTCATGCGTATTCATGGAGGATTTAGAACACATTTTATCGTAAGATATGTCCGACATTTTATTTCTGGATATATCTTCTTAAGTTAAACCCTACGACAGTTTCCTTTCGAAAGAAAAAGCTTACTATGAAAAAATACTGCTCTGTCGAATGAACATAAAAATAGTTATAAAAAGAGAACTTATTTTCTTACATTAGTTTGAAAATACAACCAAAAAAGAGATGAGAAAATTTGTTGTGTTTATATTTCTTGAAAGGAATATGGCTATGCATGCTTGTTTTTTTACTTTTATTAATGCAAGTCCAAATAAAAATTAATAAATAAAAAAAAACAGACAATAAACTATAAAACGATTGAATAGTTCTCGAAAAATCAAATTTTGCATACATGACTTTTTGTAAAAATTGGATCCCTTAAACTTTCGCATAATGTACATTTCATGACCATAATATGAGTTACTCTTACCTAGCTGTCATTTTACAATCGTTCTGATTAAGATTCTTTGTAGTGATAACGAGATAATAATTGATTTCGCGATAGAAAACAGAATAACTATGCGAGCGTTATTATAATATAGTTGAAGTATATTATATTATTATTGTTTTGATATATTTTTAAAAAAAGCTTCATGTTCGTTATCAAAATCATTAAAAATAATTTTGTTTCTAACAAAGATAAGAGAATTAACGCTCACATTTAATACCACTTTAAAAAGAAATCTACAACGAAATTCAGTAAATTCGGGATCAGTGCTATTTTCAAAGATTTGTTTAGAATCTATATTATTTAAAACACTAATGCCTACATTGTTACAAAGCTTCTAGGTTTGTCAATGAGCCGTTAAATTAAATTGATATATAAATTTGACGTAAATGAAATATTATAAAAACAGTTTATAAAACAATATTGTTATATATTTTTGTTTTAATTTTCTTATCTAATGTAAGTATCAATAATTTAGAGCTATATTTTAGTTTTAATGCTGTTTAGTAAAATACGTTTTATCAACGGATATTGGCCAGAAATACATCTGCCATAGTATTTGTTTTAACCATACCAACTTCCATTTCTACCATTTTTGTTACAATGCTTTTTTTCTTATCTTTTTTATTGGTTTTTATACATTTTACGAGATTATATATGAAGAAACGACTTAATGCTGTTGTGTTTTCAAATACTCAAATTTTTACTAGTGTATGTAAGGAAATTTCATAAATTATTCAATCCTAATGTATTTTTCAAAATGTATAAAAATGTGCAGATATGTATTCATAATCTATATATTTGTTGAAAAAGTGTTAACAAATCGAATTTCACAGATTGTAGAAGTTGCATACTTTCAGAACTTCATTTTAAAAAAACTGTTCCACAGTTCATTTAAAACTAGATTTAAATACATAAGCAACCAATGAGAGAGCGAAGCGAATTCAGATTACGAAATAAACAACGAAAGTGGCTTCAGGGGTTAAATAGC